GGGGGAAATTCTCTGTACCGTCGTGCGTTTAAATCCTTACAGGCATAAATGGGGTTTTAAATCATAGTTTTTCTTTTTTGTATCGATAGAGACGTGTTTTTTATCATCCTTTTGGTTATTTGTTAGTTGCAGATTATAACTGCCTCGTGATTAGATGTTATTTGTTGATGCATCTTAGTTATGTCTAATATATTATATATGTGCGTGCATGAATGTGAGAGAAAGTGTGTGTGTGTGTGTGTTTGTTTCTGAGTATGTTTTTTCTGGGTGTGTTTGTTTGTGTGTGAAATACTGTGAGTGATGAAACGTGAGAAAGTCCAGTCCAGGAATGCACATTCATCTAAAGAGGGAAAATGACCTTGAGATTAGCATAATCACCGGCGATTAAAGGATTGCAGATGGCGGACAGATCCATTAGGGGATCTTATCTCTCTCTCTCTCTCTCTCTCTCTCTCTCTCTCTCTCTCTCTCTCTCTCTCTCTCTCTCTCTCTCTCTCTCTCTCTCTCTCTCTCTCTCTCTCTCTCTCTCTCACTTTTTCTATTTATTTTCTCGCTTTCTCCCAAATATTTCTCGTCCATTGCGTCTTTGTCTTGCTTGTGTACGTTCTGTTATTTTTCGTCCTTCTTCTCTGCTAAATTATCTCTTTTACTTCAATTCTCATTTTACTTTTCCCTTTCTTTCATTTCATCTTCCTTTTCTTCGTTTTTTCCCCTGACCATCAGACGCAAAAACAAACATCACATTGGCCCGGGATACGGCAGTGGTGGGGGGGGGGGTGCTGGAGTTGGAAAGCAGGGCTGGGGGAGGGAATAGGGAGGATGGGGTATGGGGAATGGTGGGTGAGGGGAGGGGACACGGGGGATGTGGTGGTGGGGAGGGAAGGGGCGAAAGGTAGGAGACATGGGGAATGGTTGGGGGTGAGGGAGGGGACATGAGGAATGGTGGGGTGGTGAGGGGAGGGACATGAGGAATGGACGGGAGTGGGGGTGAGGGAGGGGCGGCTGCATGCGGTGTGCTTTTTGCCTCCGACAATGAAAGTGAATGGAGGGGCGGCAATTATCTCCTCCTCGCGGTGCATGCGTGCTGTGTCCGGCTTTACGTGCAGGTCTTTTGTGTGTGTGTGTGTGTGTACGTGTGTTTTGTGTGTGTGTGTGTGTGTGTGTGTGTGTGTGTGTGTGTGGTTGGTGTGTGTGTGTGTTGTTGTGTGTGTATGTGTGTGTGTGTGTGTGTGCGTGTATCTTGCTTGAGTCAGTCCGGTTTTGCGCGATGGGAATTCTTTTTGCATCTCTCATTTCCCCTTTCATTATTTCTTCTTATTCATCTTCTGTTCTTTGATTCACCTGTAAGACGTGCGTTCTTGTTTGATTGGAGAGGAATGTCGCAGTCTGTCTCTTTCTTTCTTTCTTTCTTTCTTTCTTTCTCTTCCCTCGTTGTCTCTCTCCATCTTTTGTCTCGGTGGCCTCCATGTCTTTTTCCTCTTTTTTGGATCTCATTTCCTCACTCCTTGAACGAGGAAGTCGGAGGCAATGACTTCTCCCGCCCTTTTCTTCCCATCTCTTCCCCCCCTCCGCCCCTCCGCCCCCTCCCCGCTCCCCAATCTCGCCCCCGCCTCCTCCCTTTCCCCACGAATTGTAAAACCTGCCTTGATCATTGCACTAGCCGCGGCAACCGAGAGAGAAAAGAAGAGGAAGAGAAAATTAGAGAGGGGAAAGAGAGGAGAGAAGAAAAATAAGAGAAAGGAGAAGAGAGGAAGAGAAAGAAGAAAATGAGGAGAGGAGAGAGGAGAGAGAGAGAGAGAGAGAGAGAGAGAGAGAGAGAGAGACGTAGAGAATGGGAAGAAGGGAGCCAAAGAGACAAGGGGAGGGGTGGGGAAGAAAAAGAGAATATGAAAGTTTGACTTTGAAGGATACACACGCGCGCATTTTTGTCATTTCTGCCATTTTTGCGTCTCTGGGAAAGCCGTGATTGATCCGTCCATTATGAGGCGTTTTTGCCGGATACTGCTAATGACTCTGTCTCGAAGGTCGGGCGGATCAGCTGGTTCACAGATGGCTGCGGCGCCCTTTGAAGCGTTCCAGCTGTGACACTTCGCCTTTGTTGGGATAGATACACTGAAGAAACCGTGAGTAAGAGAGAGAGGAAAGGAGGCACGGAAAGACAGACAAATAGACAGAGACAGAGAGAGATTTCTGTGTCTTACCGTCTTGTCTTTATTTTGCGTTTTTCGGTTCTGCAGTCACCTTTGTAGAACGACACAGCGTACTTTCGCCGTGTCGGAATGCTTGTGCACTTGTATAAAACAGAGTCAGAGAGAAAAGAAATTGGATCACATTATGATACTGTATTCACGTGCAGTAAGATCGTTCGTGCAGAAGTGATATTATTATGACCAATTATATTTTAGTTTTCCAATTGAACCTTATGTCTCAGTGTATCATTTTCGGTCTATTTTTCCCGTCAACTTACCGTTGTATATCTAGCTTTTGCCTGTTTCTCTCTTTAACGCTCTCCGCCTGTATTGTTTTCATTTCTTGGAAAAAACGATTCGTTGGATGTATCCTTGACACATATTTGCCCGCGTCACCCGAGTAGACCGCGGATTGTAACGTTGATATTCTTAATCCAACGAGTGTTTGTTTTGACGAACAGATGACAGAAAGGCATGGGGCATTGGGCATGAATGAGTGCCTCGGTTATGACGTTTATGAGGTTTGGTGGGAGTCTGTAAAATCTTTCGTTGACTTGCGAATTCCGCTTATGAGGAGGCGCGGTAGGCCTAGCGCGACCTCACCCGCTCGCTCGGTGTCTGTGTCTGTTTGTCAGGGTCTTTTTGTCTGCTTTCTGTCTTTCGGGGAACTCTTACTGGGTAAATGGGGAAGTGTGTGAGAAGTTGGGCCTTTATCCAGGGGTGGGGAGCCTCGTCCGTCAGCCACGAATTATTAATTTCAGTGAATGAAAGTGTATTCACTCGGACTGAGCCACGACTTAACGAAACTCGTATACCATGAACGAATTGCGCTTCGGAGAGGGACGCGTCATTAGTTTCATTATTTTACATATTGGCATTGCGAAACTTGGTTTATGAGAGCGGTGGTTGCAATGCAGATGTCGCGTGTGTGGCAAGACATTTCATCAGCGTCGTGCCTTGCTTGCGCGATCATTGGCAAAAGCGATATTGAAACAGCGCCGTGATTGTTATAATTGCGCGCGCAGCAGCGAGTCAGCGCTGTGTCATTAGATTTATAAATGTATTTTTATTCTACCGGCGAGATAACGACGGGTTTTATTATGATTGCGGCTGCGGAAGGGCCCGCGGAGGAGAGGGGAGAGGGCAGAGGCGCGCTTGGGAAAGAGGACGTATATTAGTGGGGGGGGGGCAGGCTGCACTTGGGTGTTCGTTCGAGGAACGGATATTCGCACTGGTTCGCGGGAGGCTCTGAAGGGGCTACGGAGGCGCCGCCGTCACTGCGCTGAGGTCAGGGTCGCGCGGGGGTACAAATGAGCGTGCTCTCTGGGAGGCTGGATCCGTAGTTTTTATATATACAATTCTATTGTTATTTTTACCATGATTCGGTTGTTTGCCTCTTTGTTTAGCCAAGTGCATGCGCGACTTTCATTGGTGTCCACATTTCGTGCAAAGCACGAAACGTGTTTACCAATCAAGGTGAGGCGTTCGGCTGCGCACTTGCATTCCGACGGGGCGGAAGCCGCCGTCTGAATCCCGTGGAGTTTCGTCGGCGGGCGCGACGCCACGGAATTGATCGGTTTAATGTTTTGCGTCATTGCGTGTTCTCCAGTTCAGTTAATGCTGATATGTTTGTTATCGCTGACTAATGACAGCGCGAGTTGCGGCGATAGATGGCGAGACTCCTCGGGTCGGTGGCGGCAGAAGATGGCTCGATCCGGTTGACCGGCGGCTGAAAAATCTCTCTCGGATTCGCATGAGTGCAAATCAGCAGAGAAAGTGAAACGATAATGAATGGAAAGCCTCTTTGCAGTGAATGAAATTCTCTAAAATTTCTGGGGCAGAAACAAAGTAAAATTTGATACAGTAAGAGATAACAACAAGGGAAGAGAAGGCCGATATCCGAGAATTCCGCGACGAGGCAGCGGGCCATTCCCAGAAGCGGATAGGATTTAGGATTCGGGAAAAACAAAGCGAACCGAAATCGAGCGAGAGATCCTCCGGCCGAACGACCTTCGCAGTCCACGCGCGCGAAAACCGTGTCGACGCCGTTAAGAAAAAAGAGAATAGCAACAAAATGCTTTTCGTTAACAATTTGGGTATATGAAAAAACACAGCACGAATTTAACCAAATGCTCAGTCTCCGACATAGAAAGCAAATAAACGAGTTACAAGAAAGATTTGATAATGGTAGATTTTGTGCTGGTTGCCTCACCGCAGGAAAACAACAGCCAGAGATTCTCCCGTCGGAATGCCGCGATTTTTATACATTGTCGGAAATGAGGGATTATTATTGCCATTGTTCGATGGCTCGCTCATTCCGGCCCCTATTTTGCAGGGAAAATGAGGGAGGTCGAAGGCTGGGTTTTTGGCTAGTCTGTGACGAGTGACGTTCGGTGTTCGATAAGCATGATAGTGGTTTTGATGGATTGAAGGTTTATTTTCAGAGAAGGATGTGATAGAACCTCATCGGATGTGCCAGCTTTGATGTTCATGTGATTTCTAGCTACGCGGCCCCTGGGGTGGGCTAGGCAGGCCCGAGTGCTTGGCAGAAGGCGAGAGCGGGGAAGGGAGGGGAGGGGAGGGGGGGAGGGGACTCAAATGAGTAGCTCAGTAGCCGCTGTGGAGGGGGAAGGGAGGTAGAGAGAGGGGGAAAGGGGGAGATGGGAATGAGGGATGAATGTATGTGAGTAGGGACGAGGGGGTCAAGAGGAGGGAGGGAATAGGGGGAGAGAGGGGGGAGGGGGCGAGAGGGGAGGAGCGGCATCGGGCGGGTGTTGGCGAAGGGAGGGAAGGAGAGGGGAGTCAGTGGTCGTTGTGACGCGGTCGGGCGAGGACGCGAACTGCATCTCTCTCTCTCGCTCCGTCATCCGCTCGCGAGAGAGTTAGCGATTCGCGCGGGACATTCCCTTCCATCGCCGTGCCGT